CTACCCATTCTACTGCCAGACACTTTGCTAGTTTCCTGTCTGGTGCCATCATGAATAGTACTAGAATGTTCTCATGTATGGTTTTGGTACCCATGTGTACAAATTTCTGTTAGGTATATACATAAGGAGTAGAATTGTTCAATTCTAAGTTTTATGTTCAGCATTCGTAAATACTGTTAAGGTTTTCCAAATTGGTTTTATCAAATTACATCCCCACCAGCAGCTTGTGGGTCCAAGTGAATCTTTTTAAGAGTAGAATGTGAACGTTTTAAAACAATAACTGAGAAAATGACATGAAGGCTGTGTTGACCAGTTTGATGGAAGTATTTCAGATTGCATGTGAAAACCCCACACTGTATCCCAGAAGTGCATTAATGTACATAGTTACCGTTCAATAAAAAAACAAACAAACAAACAAAAAAACAATAAATTCATAAAGAAAGTGCCTGTCCTTGACCAGCTTTGATGAAGCACGGCTACTGTAGAGTGGGCGTCATGCCCCTCCAGCCAGGCCACGGTATCTGCCTCTCCTCCACTGGTGGCGGCAACTCTGGGCTTGATTCTCACAGGTTTATGAAGAGAATGTACTTTTTTAGGGCCACAGCGACTAATGACACCTAGCAGGTGGCCACAGGGTTTAGGTCCTGGGACATTTGGGGACATCGTACTTGTCTCTTAAGTGGCAGTGGCAGTGTGCCACATCCGGAGTGGAGTCTTTTTTCTGCTCTGGGCATTATTGTGAAATGACGCCCTGTGAACGTCCCTTAGATAATCCTAAGTATAATTCTGAGCTTTGATCTGAGGCAGCTGAAGAAACTTCATGTGTGATTCCAAGTCCATGTGTGATTCCAAGTCAGCATAAACAGCTCTGTCCTCAGAACAGCCACCTCACTGCCGCTGCCACATGAGGGAGGTCAGCGGAGGCAGGGAGGCCACCTCTTGGAGGGCCTCCTATTTACCATGTATCCCCAGTGCCTAGGGCAGGGGCACTCACCTGGGGAACCCATGACCACAAGAGGAAAGGGAGCCCCATTAGCCCTCTGCCCAATCCCCATACTGTGTGGGTCAGAATTCCTGGTCTGCCCTGAGTCTGGCCACCTTATTCCTCTCCCCACAGGAGCATGTTCTGTATGCACAGAATTTTCTTTGCCAGCAGAGTCCAGTCTTAGAATCTTTGCCCTATTAGTTCCTAAATCTGCAGAAGCATCTGCAGAGCATTTCCAGGCCTGGCATCTGCCCACAAGAAGCCCCTCATCATCCCTATGTTCTGCTCCAGCCTCTTCCAAATGCTCCCTTATAGGCCACAACAGGTGCATGCACTCAAAGTTCAAAGTAAATGCCATAATAAACTTTGTCTCAAACATATAGGCTTTTGTCAAGTGTAGCTTTCTGCCTCACTTAGCAGATTTACTATACTTTTTTCACTTGCAGAGTGAAGCAATGGTATGTTCTTTCCCAGGTTAATTAGTTCCTTCTGTGGAATTTCATGGTGCTGACCCTTGGTCCCAGTGACAGGACTAGCGTGAAGAAAGAGTTGCTTAGAAGGGTCTACAGCACAGGGGTGTGCACCCTGTCCTGGTGGGACCTTTGGTCCACACCCCGTCATTGTGCTGGGCAGGTCTGCAGGCTTCAGAGCAGCCCCCTCACCTTTGGCTGGGGCTTCCAAGCCTGGGGGCCTTGCTATACCAGAAGCCTGTCTGCTGCAGGCCACCTCAGCATGTGGGGTGGTGGAGCAAGGCCGGTGTTCTGGATGGCCCTGCCTTGGCTATTCAACCAAGTGACTGAGCTGGATTTTAATACTCTGCAATCTTCTCTCCCAGTGTCCAAGATGTATGCAGTGTGATGCCAAATTTGACTTTATCACCAGAAAGGTGAGGTGAGACCCATGAATGGGGGTAGGGGGAGGACTGACTGGGAGGGGCCGCAGTGGACCCTGGGGAGAGCCCAGTTCTTTCTGGGGAGAGCCCAGTTCCCCTGGGAGGGGTGGATATTTTAGGGCTTGCTATTTCAGGGGACTTAGAGAATCAGTGGAAAGGGAGCAGCTTTCGTGCTCACGTGACTCTTTGAGGTGCTGTCTCCTGCCAGGTACTCCCCAGATAGATCTTGCCCTCAGAGTCCTGTCCTCCATGTGCTGTGCTCACAGCTGCACGGAGGCAGGGTGTCCTGGTCAGCAGGTCTGGGTAGCTGAGGGATGAGAAGCAGCCACATGCAAGCACCCTCTCTGGGCCCACTCGGAGAAAGGTTGGTGTCAGTGGACACGCACAGGGAGTGGCTCAGCATGTTGGCCTCTGTGCACACAGGGGTCATCTGGGGGCACTTGTCCCCAGGCCCCTGCTCACTGCCTGTCCTCTGGCCATCCACCCAGCACCACTGTCGCCGCTGCGGGAAGTGCTTCTGTGACAGGTGCTGTAGCCAGAAGGTGTCGCTGCGGCGCATGTGCTTCGTGGACCCTGTGCGGCAGTGCGCGGAGTGCGCCCTGGTGTCCCACAAGGAGGCTGAGTTCTACGACAAGCAGCTCAAAGTGCTCCTGGGTGGTAAGGCATCTTGGATGTCTCCCATGGTGACTCAACAACCCTCTGTGGCTGGCAGTGCCCAGGGCTGCAATTTCGTCCTCTATTCTCTTCTGGATTCATGCAGGGGCAGTTTTGTAGAACCTGCTCTTCAGAGACAGAAATGCTCTCTGAAGTGCTGCTCCTGACTCTGCTGGGGGTGTCCATCAGGCAGAGGGGAGCCCAGGTGGAGTGACTCTGCTGGGGGTGTCCATCAGGCAGGGGGGAGCCCAGGTGGAGTGACTCCGCTGGGGGTGTCCATCAGGCAGG